TTCAGATGTATTGATACCTTCTCAGAAAAAAGACTTTTGGGCCAGGCATAGTGATTCACGCCTATAATCCCAGCATTTTGGGAGGCAGAGGTGAGAGGATTGCTTGAGCCCAGGAATTTGAGACCAGCCTAGGCAACATAGCAAGACTTCGCCTCTCCAAAAAATAAAAAAGTAAGTCATGTGTGATGATGCACTCCTGTAGTCCCAGCTACTTGGGAGGCAGAAGCAGAAGGATCACATGAGCCCAGGAGGTTGAGGTTGCAGTGAGCCATGATCATGCCAAAAAAGGAAACAAAAGGACTAGCAGATACGTTGCAACTTTCACCTAATCCCACAGGTATCATACCTGAGGCATCCAGGGTTCCCACCAGAAATTCCCACCACTGTCTGGATTGCATTTGTTTTTCTGGTTTATGTCACTAATACCACTTTTTTTTTTAACTTGTTGAAGACTGATACAATTGCTATGAACATTTCCCCATATATATGACAGAAGACGGAGTTATACATTCAGATCACTACCCTTACAGTGTCTAGAAGAAGTTTATCAGAATGGCCTGCTTCCCTCTCCATGCATTGATCTGTCTGAAATAAAATCAAAGCTGTAGTCCTCAAGTTTGTTCAAGAGACAAACTTGGGAAAATGCAGTTCTGCAGAATTAAATCCTAGAGGCAGTCCTGGGCTTAAAATCAGACACAAGTAGGTTGGCAGCTTTGTCAAAAATCACCATGTGACACTGACCCCTTCATCTAACTGTTCAGGACCTTTAGTTTTCTCACCTCTGAAGTGAAGTGGATGATTCTGCTTCTACTTACCTTGTAGACTTGTTTTAAGGATCAAGAGAGATAATGTGTGCAAAAGCACTTTGCAAATAGTAAGAGACTCTTCAAACAAAGCCCTGAGCAAACTTTGAGCTCTAGAGAAAATTAGGACTGACTATTAGACATCTACTAATCTCTGGCTTCCTGGACGAGTTAATGAAGTCTTATCAATGGTGTAATTGTCCCGAAAAGATGTTTGTTCCCCAGTACTAAGCTGACAAGGTTCTTGAAGTGTCCATGAACTCTGGAGGACTTAACCCTATTGTAGGTGCAAGTACTACCATGTGCCTGACATTGCACAGAAGCTTTAGATAAGCAATTTCACTTTTATCCCAGAACAGGATTTTATAACTCCCATTGAGGAAACTAAAGCTTGGAGTGTTTAAACCACTAGCACACACTTGATCACGAAACTAGTACTGAATAGTTGCATTTCTAAGAAACCATCAACTGAAGGATTGTGTCATGTTAATTATAGATTTTCAGGAAGTAAGAAAACACTACACAATAAATGCACACATCAGTAGTAAGACAAATGCCAATTTCAGAATGTTAAAATTTGAAGCAGAGAAGGTGATTCTTGTGATAGAAGAAATGCAGTAAATAACAAAGATGAGCTTGGAAAACCCTCTGCTGGGTTTAACACCAAACCCATGCATCATCTGCAGCTCCAGTGCTTCCTGACTTCCTACAAACATCTTCTCTGTTCATTCTGAAGTTTCGGAAATTGCTAACTTGACAACCCCTTTATTATCTTTTTTAGAATGAACATCATCCTTTTCATCCTATTAGTTAAGTCTAACAGAACTTGATTATTTCTAAAATGAATCAGAAATTAAACTTTTTGTGGAATAATAGGCAATGTTGCAATTTTATTTTTGCAGTAGTTGACTTTATTATCTATAATTTTACTTTAAAAAAAGAGAAAGTGGTAAATTTCCTTACAGACTTGGTTTTTACATATTTGCTAACTAGCCTCCTGTCTTATTCTGGTTCTTGTTTCTATGTTTGTTTAATTTTACAGATTGTTTATGGGAGCAACATATTTTATAGATCTGAATTTTTATGAATGAGTACAATGGGGGAATAACCCTTGTCTTTCTAAATACAGACGGTCCTCTGTTTTCATGGATGGCATGTTGTTAGAAACATATATCATTGTGAAAGGCAAAACCTAGAATTGCATGTTGTAAAAGAGTTTCTGAATCAAGAGGTGAAAATTGAGTAGCAGAAAGTGGATCATACATTGGATCATACACTGCATTTATTTTACTCTTGGTATAATTTGTTGTATGTCTAAGCTGTCACTCTTTTATTATTATTATTATTATAAAGATGTGGGGTACAATTCTGGGTTAGCTATACAAATGTTGATTATGCAGGTACCCTTGTAGATGAGATATGCCCCTCCCTTCCCTAGCAGTTTCCCTCAACTGCCAATCCCACCCTCCGCCCCTGACAGTTTCCCACTACTACCAATCCCTTTCTTATAGTATTATAATTGTTCAAGGTCTGCTTATGAGTGAGAACATAGGGTACTCTGTTCTGTGTTTCTGTGATAGATCACTGAGTATGAT